AGCACAGCTCTCTCTGGCCAACACCCCCACATGGTCACAGATTCCAGACCCTCTCTAAACACGTTGGGTCAGGATTTCTGGCAGCGACGGCAACTGGTCTTCCAGGCGTGTGTGCTCACCCCCTTGGCGCTGAGGAACCAAACAGCCGCTGTCCATGTGCCCAGGCAGGTAGCCGCTTCGTTGGCCTTAGCCCCCTCTCGGCTGAAGGGACCCCACAGACAGCCCAGTGCCCTTTCCCCATTGCACCCCTGGGCAAATCCCCTGCTTCTGCCCTCCAGCTCAGCTGTCAACCATGCGGGGCAGCCGCCGGGCAGGGAGGAGCGAAGCTCTGGAGTTGCTCCATAAACCAGTTTGTCCGGCCCTGCTGAGAAAGACCCGCGAGAGTCTCAGAGTATCTGGCTCCAGGGCACGGGAGATGTGCTGTGTATTTAACCCTGGTTCCCGGGCACCCCAATAGCTAAAGCAGTGGTGGGCAATCATTTTTTGCCGGGGGCCACTTCGAAAATTTTTGAAGTGGCCCCCGGCCGCACAGGAAGGGGTGTGGCATCGCGTGGAAAGGGAGGGGCAGGGCCAGTTTATTTCCAGGTTCCTCACCCCCAGACAATGATTGATCTGAGAGTGAGGGGGTGCCTTTGCCCCCACCCCAAGTTCCCCCAAAGTGCCCATGCCCCTGGGGTGGGAAGAGACTTCCCTCACTCCCCTGCCCCTAAGCCAATTACATGCTTAACAGGCCGTTTGGTTCCCACTAGGCCAGGGCTGCCCCACATTTTGGCACCTGAGGTGGGGAGCTCAAATGCCCCCTCGCTGCACCAGCAGCAGACACAATTTTCTACACTCTGGGTCCTAGTAGCACCCCCCTCCGACCACCACCACAGTCTGGCGTCTGAGGTGGCTGCCTCAGTTCGCCTCATGGTAAGGCCAGCCCTGCACTAGGCCAGTGGTTGTCAAACTAGGGGTGGACCAGGACTGGGCGGTGGAATGTCGGGCGCTGGGTCTCATTACTGCAGGGAGATCAGGTGAGCAGTGGGGGAGCTAAGGCAGATCCCTGCCTGTCATGCACCGCAGATTTTGCTGCACCCCAGAAGTAGCTGGCAACAGGCCTGGCTCCAAGGTGTGGGGGGAGAGCGCACAGGGCTCCGCCCACTGCCCCTCACACTAACTCTGCACCCCCAGTGCCTGGGAACCTGCTGCCGGCTGCTTCTGGGGCCCACAGGGTCTGGGGCAGGAACCTGCCTCAGCCCCCCCGCTGCACTGCTGACCAGGAGCTGCTCAAGGTCAGCTCCTCCTGCCCCAGTCCTGATCCCCCCCAAAGCCAGAGCCCCCTAATACCCTCCCCCAAAGCTCAATCCTCAGCCCCACCCCGGAGCCCACAGTCCGGTCACATTCTGTCAGGTCGCGGCATCAAAGATTTTCTTCAACTGGGTCACGAGAAAAAAAAAAAGTTTGAAAGTTGCTGCCCTAGATGGACGCTTGGAGCCCGTATCACATGGCTCACGACGGCTGCGTGCCCAGGGACGTCTCTCGTTCACCAACCGGCACATGCCGCTTCCACACGTCCTTCTGGACGCCCCAGGGACGGGAGCACGGATGGCGTAAGCCTGGTACCGTTGGTCTTTGTCACATGGACAAAGCACTTTGGAAGGTCCCAGATAACTTGAGGGGAGGCCAGTGGAGGGGATTCAGAGACTGTTTTAAAGCAACTGCCTTCCTTAGCAGCAGCACCGGCCGGTAGACCGGAGCAGGGCAGAGCTGAGCAGCGGCCAAATGTCTGGGGCACGTCATTCAAATGCCCACCGTTCTGAGGCCGCGTTCAATGAACCCACCGTGCAGAACCTACCGCGCTGCAGGAGGGAGGGGAAGGGGCTGGCACGAGACAGCAGGACACTAGGGATGTAAAACCCCATTTAATCACTTAACCAGTTAACCCAGGGGTGGGCAAAAGGGCCTCCGCGGGCTGGATCCGGCCCGCCAAGCAGGTGGATCCGGCCTGCAGAGGTCCTGCTGCTCCCTCGCCCCTAGACCAATTAGGGCCTGTGGGTGGGGGAGCGCGTGAAGCCTCCTTCGCTCTGTCCCCGCCCTGCAAGCAGCGCATAGTGCTTCAAAGCACCTAGGGGCAGGGGAGTGAGGGAAGTCTCCTCCCATGCCAAGGGCATGGGCATTTTGGGGGCACATGGGGTGGGGGCAAAGGCACTCCCTCACCCCCAGGCCAATCATTGGACCACTCGATGCCACGCCCCTTCCACTCAATGCCACGCCTCCTCCTGTGTGGCCCAGGGCCACTTCAAAAAAATGATTGCCCACCCCTGAGTTAACCGATTAAAGGCAGGGTGGGTGAGGGGACCACGCCAGCCCAATTAGCCAGAACCGGTCAGCCTCATCCATTAAGAGTGGGGCTTACCAGTTAACTTTTCACATCCATAACCTTTCACAGCCCAATGCTCCAAGTTAGTACCACAACATCGTTACAAAGGGGAATTTGCTTTATTTGGAAATTAACACAAGGCAGCTCTGATCAGCTGCCTCAAAGCTGCCTGCGTCCCAGCCAGCTGCCACGGCACATGCGGGTTTGGAAAGGGTTAACCTGAATCAGCCTGGTCCCCTGCCAATTTCTGCTTCCTGCTCAGCATGACTTTCCAGGTATCCCTCAATTTGAGTCGTAGGCCCACCCTGCGCGAGGCTCCTCCGCTCAGGAGAGGGGCATGCCGGGGGGAAAAGGCAGAAAGGGAAGTGGGGAGAGAGGGGCTATGCAGGAAATGGGGCCTGTCTTGGATGAGCCAAGCCCAAGTGAATGTGAACTTCATGCTCCTCATGTCAGCCAAAAGCAAAACATTTTCAGAGAAAGCTACACAGTGCTTGGGGCAGACGCACCCCCAGGCCAGGATCTGTCTCCTCAGTCACCGCTGGTCTGCAATTAACAAAGCGGGGCCTCAGACCACAGCAGCTCCCATCAAGGCTGTGTCAGCCCATCGGCTGCAGGGGGGCTCCTCGAAAGCACCAGAGGGGCTGCCAGCCCTTGGCACCCCCACCTCTGGCAGCTGAGCTCTCAGCATGGCGCAACCCGCAGCGCGGCCGCCTCTATAAAGCCCCATCCAGCCCTCAGGGAGCAACGAATCAAGTTCGTTAGGAAACCAGAAGGCTGCCATTTGACCCATTACCCAGCTGCTAGAAGCACTTAAAAGGTGCCCCGAAGAGAAGATTAAAGGGAAGGAAAAAGCATTAACAAATATTTATGCAGCATCCCGTCCAGCAAGGAAAGGCCCGTTTCTAAACACAGCTGCTCTGCCAAAGCGAGCCAGACTCCGCTAGCTCCCAGCTTGCTCCTGGCCTGGTGTCCGCGCTGCTCTGCAGCTGTCCCCCAGAACCACCGAGCAGGGCTCCCCCGCGGGTGGGACGTTACCTCGCTTAAAGGACCATCTCTTCATCCAGCGCTTTGAGAAGGACGGCCAGGAGTGGTTGAGCAGCGAGTCGGCCATCGGGGGGCCTTCGGCGCCCCGTTCGGGGATCAAGCCCAAGCAGAAGGCGAGGGTGCAGTCGCTGCAAAGCAGAGCCTAGCCCGGACTGAGGCAGCTCCGCAGACTCCAGCCCAGGAGCTGCCAAGAGGGGGGAGTGGAGGAGCCAAGTGTTTTGTCCAAAGTATCAGCTGATAGAGGAGGCAGCCAGAGGGAAATGCTTGTGCTTTATATCTCCCACCTGCGCGAAGGAGCCATGCACACTTCCTGCAGCCGCAAGGGCAGGCGGGATGGGACGGGCTAGGACCCAGTGCTGCTCCCTACGCGGATCGGAGCTAAATACAACAGACTCCTAGCACAGCAGTAACTTTCCCCTCTCTGGCAAATCGCTCCCCATTCCGCTCCTGCTCACGCTGACTCCGGCAGCAGGGCGGGGTCTTGGGTCCACGTCCGGTGGAAACGCCAGATGGACTCCAGGTGTACACCAGCCTGGGGTTTCTAGCTTTGCCCTAGGATATGCCGCCTGGTAAATGCAGAGCCAGAGCGAGGCTTGGAAGCCGGCAAGCCAGCAGCTGGGGGAGCAGGGGGTGCGGAGGGTTCTGCAGCAAACCCTGCTCTGGGAGTACGAGCAGCAGGGAGAAAATGTCCCTGGACCAATCTTGTCTCCAGCAAATTTTCCCCACAGCATCTGATCAGGCTAAAGGGGGCCTCATTTCCAAACAGCTTCAGATGGAATAAGAGACCTGACCCTTCACACAAAGTTTGAGTGAAATTGGACCCCTTGACTATGCTGGCTGCTCAGCACTCCCTCTCCCCCTCCCAGTTGATGTCCCAAACTTTTAACCCAATCCCTTGGTCCTGCAGCCCGGCTGAAGGAGCAGAGCTCTAGCCATGGGAATCCTGCTTTGCTCTAGGCCGGCAACTCTCAACCTTGCCAGACTATTGGCCCCCTTTCAGGAGTCTGATTTGTCTGGGTACCTCCAAATTACCCCTCACCTAAAAACGACTTGTTTACAAACTCACACATAGAAGCATCCCGGCACGGTGCTACTGACAAATAGCTGACTTGCTCCTTTTTACCATAGAACGATCAAATAAATCCACTGGACTACAGGCCGTCCTCGCTGAAAGTCCAAGATTCACCCTAAGTCCATGGCTGTGTCTAGACTGGCCAGTTTTTCCGGAAAATCAGCCACTTTTCTGGAAAAACTTGCCAGCTGCCTACACTGGCCGCTTGAATTTCCGCAAAAGCACTGACGATCTCATGTAAGATTGTCAGTGTTCTTGCGGAAATACTATGCTGCTCCCGTTCGGGCAAAAGGGCCAGTGTAAACAGCTCAGGCAGGACAGTGGTGCCCATAAGGGCTCCCATCCCCTCTCACTGGGCACAAGCTCCAGAGGTCACACACACTCCACACGGCTCCAGTGGTGCCCAGATGAGCCTTCTCGCCCCAGCACAGGGAACAGCATCCAGCCGGGACCTCTCACCCACGGCCATGCTGTGACAGTGTCCATCTAGGCCTTGGCCCACCAGCCTGCCCAGCCAGGCTCATAAGAACATAAGAACGGCCGTACTGGGTCAGACCAACGGTCCTTCTAGCCCAGTATCCTGTCTGCCGACAGTGGCCAGCACCAGGTGCCCCAGAGAGGGTGGACCGAAGACAACGATCAAGCGATTTGTCTCCTGCCATCCCTCTCCAGCCTCTGACAAACAGAGGCCAAGGACACCATTTCTATCCCCTGGCTAATAGCCTTTTATGGACCTAACCTCCAGGAAATTATCTAGCTTCTCTTTAAACTCAGTTATAGTCCTAGCCTTCACAGCCTCCTCTGGCAAGGAGTTCCACAGGTTGACTACACGCTGTGTGAAGAAGAGCTGGGGCCTTTCCCCGCATCGGAGCCTGTTCTAAGGCCAAACGGCCAGGCAGCGCCCGTGTTCCTTGCCAGGAGGTTGGGCTGGGCTCCAGCCTACTGGGCATCAGGGAAGGGGAGGCAGCCGCCTCAGGCTGAGGGGGTGAGCTTCGCCTCTTCCAGCCAGCCCCCTCCTCACACGCTGCCTTCCCGGAGCATCCAGCCGCCTGAGGGAGCTAGTGGGGTGTGGCCTACGGCTGGGCCAGGCCTCCTGGCTCTGACCCCAAATCAGCATGTCCCCAGTCCCTCCCTGGGTCCCCTCCCTAGGCAGCCGAGCTGGTGACACCACCCTGCAGGGGACGCGGTCGCTCTCGCTAGCAATGAGGCCTGAAGCCAGTCCCTGGGTGAGACTCCAGCTGTCAGACCACACGGGCCCCAAAGGGATGCTCCGGATTGTCACCCAGGGCCACGTCTCCTGCCGAGTCCTAGCTGCGGCTTCAGGGCCCCTCCTCTCTTCCAGTGCTGCCAGTGGGTGTTGGGGGGGCCAGTGGGGCTCCTCTTGCAGGAGCCATGGGGCAGCCCCACAGCCTTCTCCGCCCTGTGCCTGCCTGTGGCCTGCAGCCTCAGGACAAGTGGGGCATGCACGCAGGCTGAGGGAAGCGCCAGCGGGAGCTGCCCCCAGCCCAGGAGCCCCAGGGTGATGGTGCATGGCACTTGACAGCCCTACCCCTCACCGCCACCGCGGGGCGGGAGGGGAGCTGGCACCTGGGGCTTCTGCAGAGGAGCAGCACGAAAGCCCCTCACCTCAGCTTGGGGCAGGCGTCTAGGACAAGTGGGGCATGCACGCAGGCTGAGGGAAGCGCCAGCGGGAGCTGCCCCCAGCCCAGGAGCCCCAGGGTGATGGTGCATGGCACTTGACAGCCCTACCCCTCACCGCCACCGCGGGGCGGGAGGGGAGCTGGCACCTGGGGCTTCTGCAGAGGAGCAGCACGAAAGCCCCTCACCTCAGCTTGGGGCAGGCGTCTTTGCAAAGGGGAGTGGGGGGGGGGGGGGGGAGGGGCGGG